TTGTTGCTTAAGTCTTCCGTTTATGTTGTTTCTCTCATTTCAATGTGAGCTTCTTGGGAAAAGAGACTGTCTGACTTTCCTGTTCGTATTCCCAGCACATAGCCCATGTTTTGGTATACAGGGAGTGCTTAATGCTTTTTTCATTCCTTCATTCTGTTATCCCTCCTGGCTGTTGACCTGTCAGAAAAACGCTTGGTTGGAGGGTAGTCAGCATACTTTTCAGCTGGCCAGATGTGGAGGTGAGCCCCAGTCCTGCTCCTGACTCCCTGGATGGTTTTCGGTCTGCCACTTACCTTCTCATCTGTCAAATGATGGGTTGGGAGAGGAACACCTCCTTTGGTGTTGTCGCCTTGGTGGGGATGATGCCTCTCTAATTTATATTTAAGGCATTTTGTTACAACTAATGACAGGACTTTGGGAATCATCTCTGCCTCCCTTGGAACTCCTCAGGGATGAGTCATGAAAGAGAACCAGAAAAAGGGGAGGGTGTCTAAGGCTTAGCCTAAGCTGGTTCTCTGGCTGGAGCCGAGTGGGGGAGGAGGCAGGAAGATGATGTTTCCATCAAAATCATATATTACGTTTCTATGGAGTTTTAGGGTTTGTGATATGTTTACATCATAGCCCTGTGAGGCAAGTAAATGTATTATTATCACGCCACTAGAAAAGGAAACTGAGGTTCAAAAAGCTGAGATCATAGGGGCAGCTAGGTGGTACAGTGCCTAGAACACCGGCCCTGGAGTCAAGAGAACCTGAGTTCAAATCTGACCTCAGACACATAACACTTACTAGCTGTGTGACCCTGGCCAAGTCACTTAACCCTGTTGCCTAGCCAAAAAAAAAAAGACATCAGCTTTCTTGCTGCTGTTGTTCAGTCCTGTGCAGCTCTTTGTGACCCCATTTGGGTCTGCCCGCCCTGGGCCCCGCCCGCCCTGGGCCCCGCCCGCCCTGGGCCCCGCCCTGGGCCCCGCCCTGGGCCCCGCCCGCCCTGGGCCCCGCCCGGCCTGTGCCCCGCCCTGTGCCTCGCCCGCCCTGTGCCCGGCCCGCCCTGTGCCCCGCCCTGTGCCCCGCCCGCCCTGTGCCCCGCCCTGTGCTCCGCCCTCCCTGTGCCCCGCCCGCCCTGTGCCCCGCCCTGTGCCTCGCCCGTGCTGTGCCCCGTCCGCCCTGTGCCCGGCCCGCCCTGTGCCCCGCCCGCCCTGTGCCTCTCCCGTCCATGCCCCCTGTGTGTTCACCACACGAGGCCCATCTAATATATGGGGTGGGGGGGGGGTTGCTTAATTTCTCGTGATGTTTCAAAGCTGCCAATGGAGCCCATGGTGGTCCCTCAGCTATCTCTTGCTCTCACCATGGGACCGGTCCATCCTCCTTTTCACTCGTTCATTTCTTTGAGGACTTCGTTTATTCCCGTTCTTCTCAGCAATTCCTTGTTTCTACTGTGTAGCAGCCTGTTCACACCCACCATACACCTCTCCTCATCATTCATTACAGCTCTTCAGAGACTGTTACGGCAAAGATACTGGACTGGTTTGCCATTTTCTTCTCCAGCTCATTTTACAGATGAGGAAACTGAAGCAAACAGTGTAAAGTGACTTGCCCAGGGTCACACAGCTATTGAGTATCTGAGGCCAGATTTGAACTCAGGAAGAAGTCTTTCTGACTCCACTGTAGGCGCTCTATCCACTGCACCACCTGGCTGCCCATGGTATACTTGCGCCATCCGGAGTTTCTTCCTCTTGCACCCACCAACACTTGGCCCAGCTGGCAAATTTGCTTGTTACACTCAATAAACGGTATCCTCCAGGAGCCATATGATGGAAAGAGGAAGTGGGCCAGTCATGCAGCAAGAGCCTGGGAGAAAGGACAGTTTGCCAGCCTGCTACTCTGACACCCATGGCATGCATTAATAAGCTGGGAGGAAGGTCGTTAGCATACTGGAAGGACCACTTAAAAGGAATTCGTGGGAGGAACCAGACAAGTCATTGAGGATAAGAAAGCATGGAAGGGTTGTGAGCTACATCACTGGAAGGCGTGAGAACACAAATCCATTGCAGTCCAGTATGTTTATTATGCTGACTCATTCATTGAATGAAATGCGCCTTTTGCAATAACTCCAGACCCCCTCCCCCTGTTCTTTGCAGGCTGCAAGTGGGGAACTATAAGGTTAGAGGACTACCTTAAAGAGAACCGGGTCAGAGCAGTGCTAACTGATCCTGAGGAAGGCACAGTTGCCCAACTCTTAATTCTTCTGTCTTCTCTGCCAAGTCCAATCTTTGGACTGCAATGGACTGAGCCCAAATAGCTAATAGAGAGTTGATAACCAAGGAAGATAATGAGAGAGAAGGGAAGCCAAATGCTAAAATGGATGGGTTGTTAAAAAGTTAATGAACATCTGAAAAAGGAAGCCCAGATCCCAAAGAATCAACATGGCGTCCTCAAGAACAGATCATCCTAAACTAACCTGAAAGCTTGTTTTTGGTAGTGTTACTAGACTGGTAGACCAGGAGAAAGTTGAGATATAACCTCCATAGATTTTTAGGGAAGTAAAAGGCCAGGGCTCTCGTGCTACTCTTGTGGAAGAGGTAGAGGGAGGTGGGCTAGAAGATGGGCTAATTAAGTGGATTGAAGCTGGTTGAAAGGATGGAACCAAAGGGTAGTCACTAGTGGTTCGCTATCAGCTTGGAAGGAGCTCTCCAATGTGTTAGGAAGCTTAGCCCCATGCAGTTTAAGTGTTTTATCAACGACTTGGATAAAAGCAGAGATGGCATGCTTATCCACTGTGGACAGCCATAAAGCTGGGTAGGATCATAGAGTTAGAGATCATCTATTCCAATTCCCATATTTTACAGATGAGGAAACTTAGGCCCAGAGAGGTTGTGACTTCCCAAGGTCATACAGATGGTAAACAGGATTTGAACCTGGGTCTTCCTGATCCCAAGTCCAGGGGTTTAACCATTATGCCACATAGGACAGCTAACACACCTGCCTGAAAGAGCTAGGATTCCAAAAGATCTTGACAGTGTAGAACACTCGAGCAGACTTGAATAAGCTGAAATAGAATAGGGGTCAATGTAAAGTCTGAGATTTGGGCTCAAAAAATCAATTTTGCAAGTATAAGATGGAAGAGCTGTGGTCAGACAACAGTTTGTCTGAAAATGATCTGGGGATTTCAAGCAAGATCGACATGAATTAGCAGTGTGATATAACAGCCAAGAAAGCTAATATAATATTATACGACATTAAAAGAAACAGTTTGGCGTACAGCTGGCCTCAAAGTCCGTTCAAGTCCAGAGACAGGACCCATACGGACTGTGCAACCCTGGGGAAGTTAACTTGAGATTACCAATTGCAGAGGAGCCAATTACTTTGGAAGAGAGAATTTCTTCCTCTGGGAGTCCTCTCTAACAATAAAGTCACAGGTCTGTTCCCTAACTCTGTAACTCCCCAAGAAGTAGAATGTCTGAAATTAAGAGGGAGCCAGGCCCTTCCTCAGACCTCACCTAGGCTAGTGGGCTCAGGTTTGGGCATTAGGGAGGATGATGGTAAACTGAAGAATTTGTCTCAGAGACCAGACAAACACCAGAATGGTGAAGGGCTTTGAGACCACAGTCTTAGAGAGGATACAATGAATGTCCTCAAACACCTGAAGAGTCATCTCTTGGAGAAGGGACTGGATTCATTCTGCTTGATGTCAGAGGGCAGAGCTGGAAGTGATAGTTGAAAGGAGCAAAGAACACATTAAGGTTGGCTAGGATTGCCAAGTTCTCTACAATCAGAGTTATACAAGTGGGGAATGGGCTTGCCCCAGGAGCTCTTTCAAGCCAAGGGTGGATGCCTCCAATTGGAGATGGCAGAGCAGGATTCTGGGTCCAGCACAGGCTGAACTAGATGACCTTTATGGTCCTTTTCAGTTTGGAGATTTTGTGAAGTTAGAATTATTCTTCTATAAACATTAATTACCAAAGGGTTGAAGATTGGCAGTACCTGGCGATCAATCAATCAACATTTAATAGGCACCTGCTATGTGCCAGGCACTCTGCTAAGCGCTAGAGATAACAAAAAGAAGCTAGGGATACAAAAAGACAGTCCCTGCCCTCAAGGAGCTTACAATCTAGTGGGTGAAACAACATGCAAACATAAATACACAAAGTAAGGTATATATAGGATAAATAGGAAATAATTAACAGAAGGAAGGCGCTAGAATTAAGCAGCCTAGGGGCTTAATAAATGCTTAACTGGACTTGATTGGAGTGGGGAGAGCAGGTGGGAGGGTCTTTCCACAATCCAGGTGCAGGCTAGTGAGGTTGACTAGGAATGTCTTAGAGGGTAGTGAGTTCCTCATCTATAAGGGTCTTCAAGTAGACTGGGATGACGACCTGTCCACTTAGCGGCCATGCAGTCGTCCAGGGAATTCTCATCCAGGTCCAAGTTGGACTGGATTGCCTCTAAGCCCTTCCCCATTCTGAGATTCTGGGAGGGGTAGGAGCAAGGATTTGAACCCAGGGTCTGTTGGGACTCAGTCATCCATCCCCTCCTCATACATAAAGCGCTGCGTAGGCATTAGTTATGATTAATTATTATTATTATTACTGATGTGTGACCTCGGGCCAGTCTCCTCCCCTCCTGAAGCCTCAGTTTCTTCCACTGTAAAATGGGGATAACTCGTGACTGCTCTGTCGAGTAAAGCTCCAATCACTGGGGTCTTAATGAGACACAAAGTCTTCCACTCCCCTGGATCTAAAGCTCCTTTTCCAGATAACTGAGGGCAAGTGAAACCCTCGAATACCAAATGCACACCCCGCCCCCACCCTGGAGTTGCGCGTGCTCACTTTCCGTTCTGAGGATGGGCGCCCGGAGTTGGGAGGCAGGGGGCGTGGTCCAAACGGTCAGGCTCGTGGCAGGGGGCGGGGCTTCATGGCCCAGAGAGGCAGGTAGGGGGAAGCAGTCCCCCGGAGGGGGCGGGGCTTCCGGCACGCTTCCTGTCTGCACCTGCGCCGTAGCTCCGTGACCCCGGAAATGGCGGCACTGCCCTAAGCTGTCACATCGAAGACCGGCAACCGGCGCCGGGAGCGTGAGCCGTAGCGGGAGGCAATCTCGGCCTCTACAGGGGGTGGGTAAATGGAAGGGGAAGAGAGAAAGGAGAACTCTGGTGGTGGGAAGGAGAGGAGAGGAAGGAATAGAGTGAAGAGAGAGATGGAGGGATGGGGTCAGGGGATAGAGTGGTGTGTAGTGGAAGAGAGGGGAGGGGGATAGAACGGAGTGGGGGAAGAGGGGAGGGGGGATAGAACGGAGTGGAGGAGAGGGGAGGGGGATA